AGTAGAGTTAGTAGTAGGTAGGTTAGTAGTAACTTTAATTTACTTTAATTTGTTACGTCTACGTACTAACTAACTAAGTAGTTAAGTAGTAGTAGTAGTATTATATATATATATATATATATATATATATATATATATATATAGAATTGGTGGTTCATTTGTAAAAATGAAAAAAACTGTTAACTTTCTAGATTTGGTGTCGGCCACTTTGACCGACTTTGTAACCACAATGTAACCATGAAACTATACATAACTCTGAATGTACTTTACAAAATTTTAGCAAGCTTTTAATAAACATTACAAGTCTTTTGTATACAAAAAATCAGATTTTTAATAAAGTATTTGTACTAACGATTTGTCTGAAAATTTGCAAAGCCTGTACTGAGTCAGTATGAGTGCAAGGTGATTTTCTTGCTAAAAATAAATATACTTCTTTTCATCTTACAGTTTCATATTTAATTTGCTAGAACCTGTGAAAATTTATAGTTTATTTTCTCTATACACTAACTGTAGCAAAATTAGCAATAAAAGGTAAACTGAAAAGATAAAAAAAATCTGAATTATAATTATTTTTTCTTGTTACAATAACTACGTATTGTAACAGACAATTCCACATACTTATTCTAGTAGCATAAGCTACTAGCCTTGCCCATTTGCTTTTATTTAACTTTATTGTTTACAGACATACTTAGACCATCTCAGAGAACATGAAAACCATTTATAACAGCACAGAAACCACTTATCAAACCAGGAGAGCTTTATGTAGACACATGATTGAGTTACAAACACAAACTATAAATAGGTTAAAAACATTGTTAGCTGCATGAGCTGAACATCACAATAGTAAACAATGAAACTAAAGCTAATTGTCTAATTACAAACATCAAAACAAAATAACTCGTATAAGAAAAAGCTGATCTTTTTATTGGTTATAAATAATCCAGTAGCATTGTCAGAGAGAGAGTTATTGGCATTGTTGAAAGACATAATGATATGGAAGGTATGTCGTGTGGGTTCATTGCCATAGGGAGCAGTTTTTGAGGGGTCAGGCGATTGGTACAAGTTAAACAATGTGACTGGCTTTACTGCTTCGAATGGCCCTGTGGTTTGACATTTCATTTATATTCTGATTTGCCAATATCTATAGCATGTATTTGTAATTACGTTGGACATTAAAAAAAATCATATAAGAAAGGAAATCTAAAATGGGGAATTAAGGGCTCAGTTGCATCAGGTGACATAGACAAGATAAGATTAAGAACTTATTTAAATTTTTTTTTTGAAATTAAGAAAATTAAACTTGGCTAATATTAACATTTGAATTATAAATTATGTTTTGTTGCTAAGTTAATTAACATAAATTGATAATAAAGTAGTTTAATTAAATTTTGAATGTAGCTTTTTGATCCACCCATATCCAGAGAGTTAAATAGTAAAGCCCAAAACTAGTAACAGTTTCTAATTTTTCTATTGACAGACATTGTTCAGAATTGGGTTCTAATGAATTGAAAATGTCTTATAACAGAAAACTTTATTTCTCTTACTGTAAGACTTCTCAGAAACTATATAGAATGGTGTAAAAGTTGTCCACCATCATGATTTTTTAAATCCTGCTCATAAATCTTTTTGAATTATGTACCTTTGATATCAAAACATAATATCACAGCAGGATCGCTTCCACACATTCTCAGGCTTGCCAGCTTTCCAAAATTGGTAAAAATAAATAAATATAATAATAAATGAGAGCTGTAACTCTGTTATTTGAAACACCATGACTACAGGGTTATGGACATATTGTGGTAACCACCATAGTATGGTGAATACCTCAAGAGGAGTTATTGCCCAGAGAGATCTCTTGAGAATAACTGAATTGGAGATTCTTTCTGGCCTCTCCAATTGGGAAGTATCAACTGCCAGGAGAATCTCCGCTTGTAAGAGTTAAATATCTGAACTGACTAGGATACTCATTTTGACATTTACGTCTCTTCCTACACCTTCCAACATCAGAAACGTGCCTGGGATAGCTTTCCAGATATCCCACTCATACCAGCTTCATAAGCTCTCAGAAGGCTTATGACCATGTGCCTTGCAGATTAGACATCAAAGCCAAGAGGAATTGTGGATTAAATTCACATTCAAAATCCTCTCCACTTCTAGTTTCAAAGTATTTTGGGGGTAAGATGAATGGAAATACACATCTCATCCCTTTTAAATCTTGTAATCCAGTGGCCAAGAAGTTGCTGATTTACAGAGAATTGTCAACATCCATAGAAAGTGCTTTTCCACCAACCCAGCTCGTCTACCTGTTCCCCTGCCTTCTTGGCCATCAAGACACAGCCTAAAAAAATTCATCTTCCTTTCAGTCTGTCTTTATAACTTCCATTGACCATTCATTCTGATGTAACTGAAATTTATCCTATATCAGACTAGAAGTACATCTTTCGAACTTGATAACATGCATTACGAGATGCTGTGCCATCTCTCTCATGCTTCTCTCGGTATTCTTAGTTTTAGCTCTTTTTTTAACCAGATTTGGCAGGAGGAAAAGTTTCTCAATTTATTGAATTGGGAAGGATCTCAAGATTCCTTATTACAGATCTATTACTTTGATAAGCTGTCTGTGTAAAGTTGTGGAGAGGATGGTTAATACTCGTTTTGTTTAGTTGATAAAATCAAACAATCAACTCTCCATCAGTCAGTGTTGTTTCTGTAGACAGTAATCTTCTGTGAACCATCTGATTCCTTTAAAAATAGTTATTCAGAAAAGCTTTCTCAAGGGGGTGCATTTTGTTTCAACCTTTTTTTTTCCCCTTGAGTAGGTTAATGACTCAATATAGAGGTTCAGGTTATTATGAGATCTCCTTTTTTATGGGTTGCAAGGCCATTTGTCAATTTTTATCAAAAATGCTTTAGCAGAAAGATAATTGTGGGTTCATGTTGTATTAACTCTTTCTTGATCCTTCACACAGGAACACTGAGTATTGCAGGGCTTTTTATCATTAAGATCAGTGTAATTAGTGAACAACTTCCTCCTATAGTTGCAAATAGCTTCTATGTCAATGACTTTCAGATTTCTTATCTGTTGTAATATGTGAAATAAGTAAAATGGGAGCTCAAACTGCCCTCAATAAATTATGTGGGTGGACTACTGCAAATTATTTTAAAATTTTGTAATTTAAAACCATTTGCATGCATTTCTACCACCATTGGGGATTGCACCCTGCTCTCTTGGTGTTGCACAGATTCCTATGGTGGCTGAGATAAAGTTCTTTTGATAATATGCTGACTTTTATTCCTCACATCCAGCAGTTTAAAGTGAAGTGTACAGGGGGATTGAACACCCTTCTCATCCTCTCTTTCACCTCTTGGAGAGGAGATAGTTATTCTGCTTAATGTCTATCACACCATCATTCCATATAAGCTAGACTATGGATTTCTGGTCATGCCTCAGCCAGAGACTTAGAACTTGTGATGTAGCTGTTGCTTTACACAGGAACTTCTGTACATCCCATCTGGAGTTTGTACACATGAACCTCCACCTCCAACATATGCAACTTTCTTTGTAATATGCTGCAAAGCTCTGATCACTTCAGTAGTATCTATAGTATCCCACCTGACATTGTGTCTTCATGCCTCAGAGGGTTCTGCTGTTTGTAAACAGGTGATCTGCTTTCAGCAATCTCTGACCTTCATATCCACTCTTCCATTACTTGTCTCAGCTTTGTAGTTGCTTACAGGATCCTCTCTATAGATTCTGTTTTCACTGCTGGGTTGTTTGTAATCTTACTTGCCTTGGTTTGTATGAAAGCTAAGCAATATGCTAATTTTACTATCCATACCAATTCACTTAGCTTTTTGAAGGATCTGGAAATGTGTAATACCTTTTCTCACCAATTTCCCTTGGATATTCAGAAACAATATGCTAATTTCTCTCTGTCATTATCCAAATTATCTGGATTCCTGGTGATATCTGTATATGAAGGAACAAGCTTGTTGATACCATGGCCAAATTGGCCTCAACTGGCAATGTAAATGCGTTACCTATTCCATATATAGACTTCAAGCTTCATGGCAGTTGGCACACAACTTGGGGTAAGCAATATATGAATAAGCTTCATCATATAAAACCTACAGTTGCAGATTGGCTGTCTAGTCTACTTCCATCAATTTGTGAACAGTTTGACACTCAAGTCACAATTGCTCATAGTTTACTTTCATGCTATCATTATGATATTTAGCAACAGCACCTCTTTTAATCATGTTCTTATTTGTGGTGTCCCTTAATGTTATGCAGTGTTTACTCTGTTTTTAGTTGTTGTTTTTTACAGGCCATAAGCCCCTTTTTTTAGTTTTAAGAAACTTTACTAATTATATTTCATTTTTATTTTATAATTTTTAAGTTTTTAATTTGCTGTTATTTTTTATTGTACAAAATAAAAAAAAAACATGTTTGGCTCGGATAGCTCTTAAGGCTCCCCACCAATAAACCTCCAAGCAAGAACAACATCCACACATTCTTACGAGGTTATTGACATCCCAATCAATTGCAATGAAAGGAAAGATCCAGTCAGTTAGATACAAATAAGACTTAAAGACTTAAGGATTCAGAAATATGTTGGTGATTTGCAACTTTTGCATCACCCTGTATTTTTATGGTTTTCATGCCTCAGCATTGTTTTTGTTCAACTTTTATTTTAATGAGAATCAGCTTAAACAAAATAGGTCTTCATAAGTTTTTGTCTATTACCACATACTTTACAAAACATGCTAAAACTCTCTAAATAGGAGAGAAATCTCGTATGAATTGGAAATATATTGTATAGTTTCTACCTTCTATAGTAACGTAGGATTTTTAAAAATTTTTTAGTTATTAGATTTCCATACTGCCAAGGTGGTAATATGTGGTCCTTTCTTTATGCTCCAGTAGCCAACTTCTCGTCTTCCTGCAGGATATTACAATAGTATAGGTAGGATCCAGTTTTAAGGATTAATGTTGCAATATCTGTTTGCTGGCTGATGATGGCATCGCTAAAGGCCACGGCCAACCAATGCTGTGTAGACATAAGACCACAAGGTGATGTTGTAGATGGAATAAAGAGAACAAGCTTATCTGGAAGTTTGAGTGCCTTTTCTTTATTCTGTTGAAGCGAGTTCTACTAAGTAAGAAGACTTAAACTCTGGAAGACTGCAGTTTTTAGTTTTTCTAGTGGTCGATCTTGTGGGAAAAGAAGATATAGACTATCCTAGTTGGACCAACTTTATTGTTCTCTACGTGGGTACGCTTGCTGTTTTCTTTTATATGTCAGTAATAAAGATTGTTTTATTTTTGTGAATTTTGTCCAATCTTTTTATTATTCACATGTAAAGGAACTCAGTTTAACTTATCAACTGCACAACACTCCCCTTATTTCTTGTACGAATCTGCTTTTATTGCAGAACACAACTTATTTTATACTCGTAAGAAAATAGTTTGAACTCAAATTACCACTAACTGATATTAACAGTTTCATACATTAAGATACACATTTCTTATCCAAATAATATGTATCAACTGTTTTAAGATAGAGAATGATTACAAAGGCCTGGAAATTTAAACTTCATAAAAGTTGTTTTAGTTTTATTAACGTATTTTCCATAATTCAGCTACACAGATTTCAAAAATAATATTCTTTTTTTTTCTATCACGTAAGGATTTTTTACA